GTAAGAAACATCTATAATGTATATATTAGACCTCACCTCAGGTATCCCCGAGCCACAGGCATAGGGAGCAAATACCTTCACCAGAGAAACTGCTAAGAAGGCAAAGCTCAAAGCCCAGAAAATGTACATAATGTAGTTCATTATGTATGAACCTGGACCCTAAAAACAGAAACAAAAAATCAGAATATAAATTTGAGCAAAATCACTACTTAAAGTACCCTTGTTGCACGTCCACTTACACACGTATTTTGAGGGGCATAATTATTACCAAGCCAAGAGAGAGTTTTGTTTGAAAAGCATAAAGTCATGACACACATCCGGAAAGACTGGGTTATACAAGACAGAAAGTGCTCTAACACTTCATCTTTAACAAAACAAATAAACAGCACAGTTTGGGTTTTATTTATAGCTATTAGCTGCTAAAATCTACTGGACACTGAGTAACTATTCTTTATTTCAAAAAATGTGTGGTAAAATATAAAACTAATCTATTCTTAGTTATCAGAGAACTCCACAAATTTATTTATTTTTTTTTTATGTATAGCTAAGATCAGGAATAGAAATTTTTGTGTTAACAGTTCTATACTCTCGTAACTTCCTTATATCTGCAACAGTTCAAGATCCCTTGTAGTGCATGGAATGCATGTTTATTACACTATAACCTATTTATCAATTCAAATGCTAAAAAATGGAGCAGACAGTAATACCCAAATCTGTTCAGATACCATAAGCTTAAGACCATTATTCTCTTTCCATGTTGAGCCAAGCTGTTGAGCAAGACCATCAAAGAATGGGTATATACTTACTTCTGCTTGCCCAATTATTAGTTCTGCCCACGTTTTCCATTGTGGACATTTATCTCTCTCTTCAAATGTGGTCTCATTGGAACCCCAACAACACTGTTCGTGGTTAAACCACAAAGCACTAAGGCAAATGCCTTCCTTTAAGTCAGTCATCCAGTCAGCAGCAATGTCAATTAATCCTGCCAATGCCCCTGTCATAGAAGGAGTTTTGTATTAATATTCTGGTAAGCAGGAATAACACACGCAGCTCAAATGAAGAAATGTGCTGTTATTAACCGATGTAAATTTAAGTTACAGAAAACCTAAACAAACAGACATTTAAATATTACTGATTTCCAGGAATATTTGCAATCCGGTAAGATTAGGATTTGCTGAAGAATCTATAGAACCTTGTGTGTTTCCCCAAGTCAAATGCATCTTTTGTTTTTCTTTGATTTTTTCCTATGCCACAGTTCTCCAACAGCCCACTGAAACTAAGCAGTTAAGAATCAAGAGGACTGATACATTTTTGTGGCCAAAACCGCAATAGACTTCCTGACAAAACTAGCTTCCCATGCTTCAGAGAAGTCATGAGCTGCGAGTTCTCTGTACAGAACAGCATGTGGAGAAAATAATTCTTACCTTCCCAACAACAGTTTTAGAACAACATAAACCACCAAAATAAACCCTGATGACATTCATGTGATCCACATAGAAAATTACTTAATTCTGTAACATGGGGAGCAGAAAAATGGAGCAGGCAGTACAACCCAAATCCATGTTTAGTGCCCTAACCCTAAACCCATTCTTTTTAATTAATTCCTACTGCAGGTAACAAACAGTATAAATATTAAGCAGTTCCCAGATTCAAAGCTTAAGACTGATTTTGTATTGTACATGCAGAAAACTTACTGAAGAGTCCTCAAAGAATAGGTAGCAGTATACTGAAAAACTGCTTCTGAAGACAGTATTTTGTGATCATGTACAACTGTTAAATAGTTATAATTAACTATTTTTAAGGTATTAATCACTACCAGAAACAGCTGTATAGAGACAGCCTCAATTTACTTGTGTAGTAAACTGGTAGTAGAGAATTACCTCTGATTTACTAACTCATATTTACTAATTTCCACAGATCCTCAGCTTGAGATCCTGGGCCAACCAAAGTCAAGAGTCAACAGCAGTATTTCAGCAGGACAAAATTTCACCCGGATTATTTAAAGTTACATAAACATAAGATTTCCCCATGACTGAAATCGAGGTTGTACCATTTAAGATTCACTAGACACATTCAACAGAAAGCAATGAACTGAAAAACCTAGAAATGTTCAGAATTTGCTCTCTTTGTTGCTCAGAAACATAGTAAAGCACTTTTAATATACATAGCAGCTTGGGGGGTGGAAATACAACACAGCACATCCCACCCAAATTATCATAAGCAATTTCCAGTAATTACACACTCCCCGTTTGAACATTCAGAGGTATATAAACATGCTAAAACTTTGCATATACATTAGTTTATATGTGATTTCTGAAAGTGATTATGCATATATCTAAGTAGCAATTATACAGTTAGCATGCCTTTTTAACAGCACGGCCATACTCTGCAACTAATCCAGGGACTAATCTGCTAGGGGAAACCAAACCAGAACAAAATACACCCCACCCCACCCCCCAAAAAAGAAATTCATAGCTGAAAAAGCATCTAGAACAATCAATTAATACAGTTTCACAAGAAATCCTACAGGAAAATAGCACAATTTAACAGAAAGGAAAACACTGACCTCAATCTCAGGATAAAAAACTTTGATAATTAAGTAGGTAAAAGTTCAATAACTCTGAGAAACTCACTAAATTCCGTGTGGATTTTGTTTTCCTTTTCATTAGTAACC